TCTGTCCATTATTTTTGTTTTTTTCTGTAGAACTTTGTTCACAAACTTTTGTAAAGACTTAGTAATTTTGGGAAGTTGTACTGGGTTTTGTGTCATTTAGACACTCTAAACATCCAGCCCTTAGCTATAGTTCTGCCCCAAAATTTTGTACGGGTTTTCCTTTTTTGTCAAAAGTCCCATTTTTTAACTAGGCTGAACAAAGTTTCAGTTTTAAAGGGGATTTTTGTAACTGTTGGGGGAGGATCTGCTAAAGGGTTTCCCACTTAGTGTCAAAAATTTTTTCCCTTTCCCCTGATTCTGGTCGCATCGCTTGTTTATTGCATTGCTTTTTGGGCTTAGCATTCTTTTTGTTCAAGCAGACTTTTTGGGGTTTGCCAGTGGGTTTTAAAAAGGGTTATTTTATTTGGGGAAATTTGTCATCACTTGTTTAAGTCTTTTTTCCGGTCTTGAGACAAAAACTAACTATTTTAAAGACACTTAAAAACGCATACACCCCCTTGTACAAAATTGTAAAATCTTTTAAATGTTAATGACCTGACGGAACTTAAGAATTAAAAAATGGGGATATGTTTTTTTCAGCACAATAAATTAAACTCGAGAGATTGATTTTATTTTAAATTGTTGAAATTTAAATTTTAAATTTTAATAATATACCTCTAGAAAAAACTTACACTTTTAATAAATTTTTTAAATTTTTAATTTCTCTATTTTAGTAGCCTACCATTTTTAATCCAAAAGCACTTTTTAACCAAAACGAATTTAATGGAAATTGGAAAAGGAAAACTGACTCCCTTTTTTACGAAAACCCAGAAACCCAGGCTGGATGCTAAAAGGGGGCCGTCCTTTTAGTATTCACTGGAGATCTCTAAGCTTTTAAAATTCGTCGTTTTTTGAAACCCAAAGGGGGGCCTTTTCCGGGGATGCTCCTTGTTCCAAGGTGGTTTGGAAAATTGTCCAGTTTGACTTTACTATGAACCCAAATGATAAAAAACATTTTGAGTTTTTCCTAATCTGAAGACTTTAAATTTAGTCTTGTACAACATACCAGGTGGATGTATTTTACCTGCCCCTGAGCCCTCTTGTTTCCAAGGAGATGGAAATACGTAAATAAAGTTTTAAAAACCTAAAAAACCCCAACACAAAAATTCCAAACCGGAAATTAAATTAGTTTCCAGTAACACACTCTCCTTAGTAAAATTTAAAATTTTGGGTGATGTATGCCAAATGAAACATTAAATTTGATACTCTGCCCTTTGTCGGGTTTAAGTACTTTAAAAAAATTTCAAGGGTTTTGGCGAAAACCCAAAGTACCCGGGAGTAAACATATAATTAATTAAAGATAAATTGTTTCCTGCTCATCCAGAATGCTGTTTATGTTTCAGATTCAAAAACCCCTGGCCCAAAATTTTGGAAATTTAATGACTCATTTAAATGAAGAAAGAACAATTTAACAGAAGTGAGCCTAGTGTCTGACCCCTAGTTAGATCAGTTTTTTCGCTCCCCCCTTTTTCCCCCACGACACTATAGACAGAGTATAGTTTGTTAGATGACCCACCTAAAAAATATACTTTTACGGGCCCAAAATGAAGGAAACAAAAGCGATCATTGCGACTTTTCCCCACGTTTTTAAAGTGACAGGCAAGCCAGCGCACCCACCCCCCCCTGGCCCCTCTCTTTTTCCTTCACCTTTCAGGGAAAACCAAATTCTCACGCCCTTAAATTATTGTTTGGGGTTGGGCCCCTTTGCCTAAAACCCAAAAACCGGAAACCAATACTTATTTACTATTATGGCCCGCAAACAACACCCTATCCCGAACAAATTCCTATGGGGGAAAAATTAAGGGTTTCGTGCATTGTAAAGAGGGGCTGATAAAATTTTTTTCTCCCGGGTTTGGTTTGCCACGAGAGATACAGTCAGATCAGGGATCAAACTTCACTTTTTTAAGATTTTTCCCGAGAAGCTTTAAATCCCACCTAGAAAAAGGGTCGACTTTCAACCATTATCATCCACAGTCAAAAGGGGTCCTCTAGAAAATTTTTCAAAAACCTAAAAAGTCTATTTGAATTTTAGTGAACATTTTTTCTAAAAGATTTGGGATGGGGGTATACCTTTTTTCCTGTTCGCTATGAAGAATTGAGCAAGAAATTTTCCCCCCCGGTTTTTAAAGGCCCCGTTTAAATTTAAAAATTGGGAAACCCCAAAGGCGGGGTCCTCTTGCATTGTTGAAAGAGGGGGTGGACGGGGAAAAATCAAATCCATCATTGAGAAACTTAAACCTTCATTAATGCAGCAACATTTGACCCCCCTAAAAGAGCTAGTTTTGGGAAAAACCAATTTTCCGCCCAAAGCTAAAATGAAGCAACATTATGAAAAAAGCGTGCTGTCTCTCGTTCTTTTAAAGCAGGGGGATAAGGTAAAGGCTGGGAAATTAGTACCGGGTTTCATGCTCTACAACCAGGTTTTGGGCCCCCCGGGAAGATAAAAAAAGCTTAGCGACGA